AAAATCAAGAGAAGAGAAAAGAAAAAATAAAGAATAAAAAAGATAGTGAGAGAGAGAGAGAGAGAGAGAGAGAGAGAGAGAGAGAGAGAGAGAGTGAGAGAGAGAGAGAGAGAGAGAGAGAGAGAGAGAGAGAGAGAGAGAGAGTATGAGTGAGAGAGTATGAGTGAGAGAGTATGAGTGAGAGTGAGAGTGAGGTGAGAGTGTGAAAAGGAGGGTGGGAGGAGAAGAGAGATGATTCCGTGAATGCGTCGTCGACGGTGGTGGTACGGATGGAGGTTAGAAATGACCTTGAACAGTGTATTGACTCGACGACTGCTTTGTTTCTCTAACCAAGCTCCCCCTCCTTCCTTCCTCTCTCAGTTCGTCCTCCCCCCGACCTCATCTTCTTCCTCCATCCCTTCGTCCCTCCTACCTTCTTTTACTTAGAGTCGTCAGTTCCCTTACAATTCGTCGAGGAGAAATCCTCTCTATTCCTCTCTTTTTCTTCCTTTACTCTCTTACTCTTTCTCTCTCTCTCTCTCTCTCTCTCTCTCTCTCTCTCTCTCTCTCTCTCTCTCTCTCTCTCTCTCTCTCTCTCTCTCTCTCTTTCTTTCTTTCTTTCCACATGTGTGTATGAATGTAATGTGCATGCGTGTGTGTGTATGTGTGTGTGTGTGTTGTTTAGTATTCGCTAAATGAAAATCGTAGCATCGCTCTTGGTTCATTACTCGCTCTTGAGTATCCTCTGTTCTTTTTTTTTTTTTTTTTACCTCGACATCGTTGGCGTTGTCGTCGGCGTCGGCGTCGGCGTCGGCGTCGGCGTTGATGTCATCGTTGGTTGTTGTTGTTCTTGTTCTTGTTGTTCTTGTTGTTGTTGTGTTGTTATTGTACTGCGTCGTCATGTTGTTGTCAGGCAGCCATCACCATCGCAGTCGCAGTAGCTACAATATTGTACATATATACGTACATATATACATTTGTTTGTACATGCTCGCTCGCGCAAGCGCACGCACGCACGCACACACATATATGTATATATATATATATATATATATATATATATATATATTAGGTGAACCGGAAAGTAATATCGCTTTCTTAAATTAAATTCAAACGAATAAATTTTTAACAATTTTTAATAATTTTTAACAATCGAATATCGACATTACTTTCCGGTCCACCTAATATATATATATATATATATATATATATATATTAGGCATACACGTATTTTCGAATAGATTCGAAAAGTGAAATTAAGACTAACCTTTCTTTCTCTCCCCTCATCCCAATATTGTTTATTACTTTCTTTCTTTGTATCTTTTCTTTTTTCTTTTTCTTTTTTTTTTCTTCTTTTTTTTAAATTGTTATCCTTTATTTTCTTCGTCTTTTCGTAAAATCGATATGCGAATATCGCGGAGAAAGTATGTAATTTAAAATGGAAACGTAAATTGTAGCTCCTTTAATGTTTTTATACGTACATATGAATACATCCACGTGTATTTTATTTTTTTTTTTGTTTTGTTTTTAATAATAAGACGTATTAACGCGTAGTTACATCATATTACTCGAGCAATTTATCAGAAAAATCAAGTTCGCTACACTCTTTCATATATATCTATACACTGTATATTATGTTGATGTATGTGTGTATACACACACACACGTACACTTTAATTCCGTGTTTAAAAGGCTCGTCTCCATGTACCTACAACGTATTCGAGAACGACACCGTTATCGCAGCAAGGTCACGGTGAATCGTTGCCGCTTTTGCAAAGATAAAAAGAGATGAAGAATGAAACAGGTTGACATAGGAAATACGAACGTTCACTAACTTTTGCCTGCATCTCGCTCGCACTCGTTCGTTCGTTCGTTTGCTCGCTTTCTTACTTTCTTTCTTTTTTTTCTTTCAGCCGGATCGCCTTGTTTCAATTTAAAACGGTGTTCTTTTCATTGAATATGTATATACATGCATATGTGTGCGCACGCGTGTGTGTGTGTGTGTATGTGTATTATTTTTCTATTGAAAATTTCTCTAGAAATTGTTTATTATTCTGTTTTGAATTTCGCGCGTTTAAATGGATCTGACACTTGGAGTCAAATTCGAACGATTTTTTTTTTTTCATAATTCAATACATGATAATAATCACACATGATTCGATATTTTTATGATAGAAAAAAAAAAATAAAAGAAAAAGAATGATTTATTACTCGTTAACCATATTTGATTTCGATACGTTCATTTGTAATTTCGTCGATTCAGAATCTACGTATATTCACGTGATTTGCTTTTGGAAAAGAAATATCTATCATTATTTGTTCCTTTTGAAAAATTTTAATAGAAAATGGCTGTCGTACTTTTTTCTTTTTTTGTTTTTCTTTTTTTCATAATTTCGCGGTTTTAGAAAGATATATGGCATACGTTTGGCGCCAAATTTGAACGATTATCTTCTTCTTTAATCACTCGATTTATCATAATCGCTTTATAACCATACTTTTTTATAATTTACGAAACAAAAATGTATTATTATTATTCCGATATGTGCATTTGAAATTTTGCATTTAGAAACTCGAAGAATAAGAATTGCATTTCTCAATTTGTAACGCATACGAACACGAATTATGCACTTTCGACGATTGAGAGGGAGAAAGAGAGAGAAAGAAAGAGAGAGAGAGAGAGAGAGAGAGAGAGAGAGAGAGAGAGAGAGAGAGAGAGAGAGAGAGAGAGAGAAGGTTCCTTTGTTCCTGCTGAAAGAAAGAGAAAGAGAAAGACAGATAGACAGACAGTCAGATAGATAGACAGA